AATCTTAATTTGTGCTCTTATTCTCTCTAATTGCAGTCTTTCTTTACTCTAATTTTCTTCTTTCTCTGTTTATATTATTATCTTCTCTTCTCTGCCTCTCCTCTGTTGATGCTCTTCTCGTTCTAGTTCTTGTTGTTTAACATACTCTCATAAATCACTGTCTCTGAGCCCAAGTTTCTCACCTCTCTCAATCCATTTATCAAAGTCAGTTGACTTGGTTATATAGTGTGGTTGTAATCTACAATATTTTTGCTACCACTAACAGCTGTGTATCTATAGACCTACTTCCCCTGTTGTTCACGTCTTCTACTGCTGTTTACCACTGTATAATCCTCACTGCCTCGCCAATGTCAGGTTTTTACGTATACGTGGGCCAGATTCTTTACAGTAGGTGTCTGAGACTTGTTGGTAATAAATTTCACTGATAAAGAAACAGCACACAGTCCATGTGTTTTAAAATAACATATTAAAACAAGTCAAACATATATTCAAATATTCGTTATGCATTTAAACACCACAGTTATCTCCAGAGCTTTAAGTAATCATCTCTTTTCGTTAAAGTACACACAGGTTGGTTCAGTTATTTTAAGAATGCAATTGACAAGACATATTATTCTCCTCTGCTCCATTGTTACATTACAACCAGTGAATCCATAATTAAGAATGTAATAAGGATAAGGTTTGATTTGTTACAGACTGTTAGGATTAGAATGCTGAAGTAAAATTAAAATCAGTTGTTAATTAATCAGGTATGATTAGAGAAAAGAAGAGACTAATATAGTAAAAAATGTGTTATAAAAAGTAACTACTGAAATGATGGAAAATATACTTGTGTTATGTCGTGTTTAACTGTTGTGAGCAAAATGAAAAGTATTATACTAACAGAAAATTCTATACATGAGCATATAATCTGCGTATAAACATGCAAAAAAGATTCTATGGATTTTATGGGCGTGTACATTTTTCTTATCATAATGATCCTTTGTTGTTTCAGATTCCATTTTGAAGGGCCTTGTGGATCTACCTTGCCAAAAGCACTTCATCCCTAAATCTGATGAAGATGTGTTATTATTCAATAGGTCCAGTGTTCAGTAGTATGATAGACTTCCTCCTACTGTGCCAACTTTAAGTTTTATCCCTGTTCTAATGGTATCAGCATCAGAAACAACATAACACTGATTAGAGATACTTTGGTGAAAACATGGAATTGATGATGGAGATCAAAATCTCTTGGATTGAACCCACAAGTTGTCCTTGAGGAGGAAGGCTCGATACTTCTTTAGCTTAAAATGTCAGCAATGCTGTAGAAATGGTAATTAATATGTGGAGGTTGCATTTAGTTTAGTAAAAATGTCAAATAAATACACTTGAGTATACAGTTTGGAGAATTTTTTTTTCTGTAACTGGTTCAAAAACAAAATTACTGAGAGTTCTTAACACAAGTGATAAAACAATACTTAAAATCTAAATAAGTTGTTACAATTAAGAACTTTTACAATATATGATGAGACTCTTCCATTTTTGGTAATCCAAAGGTTGAATGACTGAAGTAAACGTAAAGATAGAATTGCCAACTATTGGATTGTCCTTGACAAGTTTATTTTGTTTTTAGATGTCCATGATATTCACCCCTGGTTTTAAATGTTGCATGGAAACATACAGTACTTTAAGTTTCCCACAATTAACAACAACACCAGTATAACATGATTTGACAGATGGAAGTGTTACTGTGACAGCCCCTGTTGCATGTTCCATATTCTCTTTACAGCTACACATACGTACTTGTTACAACCCATGTTTTGGATTACTCACAGAAAGGAATTTAATAAACTTCATTGTTCTTCCTTTTACAGTTCTGTTAGTTGCATGTCAACTGGGGTGGCATGGAAGATGTGGGGACAGACCCCATTAGAGATATCTGCCCTCTAGCAGCCCTGTCGTCTGAGATAGTCTTTTAATATTTTAAAATTCTCTTCACTTTGACTCCTACTGACATAAAAGTGTAAATTTTTTCGATCCTCAAACTATAACTTTTTGTCCCTTTATGCCCCCCAACATAATAAAAACCAAGAAACACCACTGGCACTGTTATTTTGTTGTGTTATTTCACTTTAATAATGATTTTGCATACTTCAGTTGTACACAAAGAATTGTAGGAAATAATCTTTAATAAAACATGATACATTACTAACTCTTAAGTAGTTTTTAATAGCCACAACAACTTTTAATATTAAGATTGACCACCAGTAAAAGTTTTAGCAAAGTATAAACCATAGTTATCTTTAGAGTTGTGGAATAAAGTGTTTTTCTTAAACACTTATTGCAATGATGATTTATAAAAGTACTTATTTCAGTACACACCGTTTAATATTCCTAACAATTACCAGAAGAAAACAAAATGGTATCATTACTTCAATTTGATGTTCTCTTGATGTTTCTTTCAGGCATTCACTACTGAAACCAATAATTTTTAAAATACTAAGTTGTACAAATTCAGTTTATTAAAAAACAATTTCATAATTTCCTATTCTTTTAAAAACAATTGGTTGTATAGTAATGAATTTCAAGGTAAATTTTGACTAAAATTATATTAATACTCGCTGAATAAATTAACAGGAACAACGAAAAAAAGTTACTATTACAATAATAATTTTTTAAGGCAGTGGCTTTGTGACTAAATCAAGACTTGTTGAACAACTATAACAAGAAAAAATATCAGTACAATATAACTGATATTTCAGAAAATTATCACATTTGTTGCTGAAAGGGTGTTTGCTTGTCTAGCTTTTCAACAGGTAAATAAATTTAACCATTATACACTACAGTCATGTTTAATTTTTAGTGCATGATGCAATAAAGTATGGTAACATAACCTAATATATAGTGTGCGGGGGATAAAATTACAAACAGCAAGGTAAGCCTTGATACATCATATGTAATCCCCTTTATTTTATTGGACAATTTTTTTTAACCATTTTCACCTATAGATGTGACCTAATGAAAGGACAAAAATGTTTTATTTGGTTGGTAATGATCACCATGTCCAGTAATTTCTATTGGAGCTTTAGTTTCTTGAGTGATTTAAAGTATGTAGACGAATCCATGAACAGTGCTTAGAACTTCCACTTGTAGTCTTCATCACGTTCTTCGTAATAGAAGTGCCTTTTTTTTTTTGCTCCCACTGTCATTTTTTTTTCAAACACCTAAAAAGAGGCATACCATGCTTTAGAATACATTATTTAATGTTAAGTGTGTGTCTGCCTATTGGTGAAAGCACTGGATATAAAACATCAGATTAAATATGGAATGGATCATACTACATATATGGGCCCAGTTAAAAAGATTGTTAAGCACTCCTGTTATTATTTTATGTGTGTGTGAATGCAATAATCAATAAAATAAAGGTCAAGTGAAACAAACAGGATTTATAGTATTAGATCTTTAAAATGTCCAGTAGGAAAGTCAGTGTAAATTCAAAGTTCAGCCTTTGTGATTAAGAAATAGCACATTGAATAATAATGTTTCAGTTATTAAACAAACATAAAGAAAATGTACCTCATACATACTGTTAACTAATCAATTCAAAATTAAAAAGATAAAAGTAGACTTGCATGCCCCCTATTTTGGTTTCCCTGAAGTTCACCTAATAACCTGTGGATGGCATGTTAACCTTGTTTTGATTTTCTAAAAATATTAACTTCAAATTAAAACATTTTTCTTTGTTCTTATACCTTCCTTCAACAGTATAAACAACCGTAAAGAAATTTAGTTCATCTCTGGGCTACAGATAAAGTTAACACCATTTGAAACTACAGTTCTCTGCTGATCAAGTTATGGGTTGTGTTACCTAATGTAAACTTGCTGTTTTGAACCACAACTATACTATTGTTTCAAGCCACACATACACGATAAAAAAGCTCTTTTGATAATAAAGGGTGCCAATATTTGAAATTCTATTTAATTTACTCTTGAATTTATTTATTAACTTTCTCCACGTGGGTTCAGTCGAACTGACCAATCTCGTAACCACTGTTGTACTCTTTATGGGTTCCATACTCTTATTTTTAATACATGTAGTGCATCTTCATAAGATTTGGTAGACTTTTAGTGAGTATTACAATTCTTTTACACAAAAAATCAGATTTTTTAATTAAGTATTTTTACCAAATATTTGTCCATGAATGTAATAGATAATCTTTGTATATGCTACTATATTACTACTCGAATGCTAAGTGATTTTCATGTTAAAATTAAAAATACTTTTCTTTGTCTCAAAAATATAAACTTTTATTTATATACTCTCTCACAAATACATCTAACTTACCCTTTTTCCCTTCTAGAATGACTTCAAATTGTAACATGAAATTACATTTCTTTATCCTAAATAGCTTTAAACTCATAATAATATCATTTATTTATACTTAAATTTAATAACATGCAATAACCAGGCAATTTCCCATAACTATTACAAGTTTTCTAACTATGAGACAAGAGGAATTAGGAATTCAGCTAAGCTCATTGATGCATTTCTTGTGGGAATCATGCTCGAACGGAAAGCAAAATTTACAGTTCTCTTTACAGAAAACAATGTAACATAATACATCACTTGATAGATGAAAACCATAGCTTTCTATTGGTTATAAATAATATAGCATTAAATGGCAGGGAGAACTATTGGCAATTTTTGAAAGAAGGAATGTGACAGGTAGGCATGGCAAGAGGGGTCTGGTTGCCTGTTTGTGGTTCTGTTACCAAATAGATTGAAGGCTATGAAAATTATGCTTTGCCTGAACAATAACGATATTATATTAAGTAATTTACGTTAAATTTCGTACTTCTTGGAGGGGTGGTAAATAAATTAGAGAAGAGGAGATGCCTAGAAAGCAAATATCCCAATTCTCATTCTAGGGGAAATTCTAGTTTGTTTGTTTTTTTAAATATTGCCTTATAAAAGTAAGAACTTAAAACTTATATATACTATTAGCTACGTTTTTATGCAATATATATTGATATACAATAAAAAGATAGTTTAAATTTTGAATGTAACTCACTAAAAGCTTGTGACGTGTAGAAGATAATATCGATGGAGAGAGGGTTATTGCAAGCTTTCCATATGCTATTTCTTCACTTATTACTCATCCAGGCTGAGTTTGAATAACATACTATGGTTATTTTTAATTATCCTACTCTTTTGATGCTGCATATTATTAATCATCAAATATACATCTAAACCATTCTATTATAAAAGTCTGTGTGTGTCCCCTTATAACTGGGAAACTGTTTGACAGACTTTCACCAAACCTGGCACGTACCCCATAGAATGACAAGAGATGGGACAACATTCTGATCTGACCATTCTTTGGTACCCACAATGTCTTCCCCATGCATGAAATGGGTATATCAGCTAGTAGTTATTAAAACAATGCAGAGTCAACTATTCCAACAAATGTTGACACAGAATGAGATAATAAGAGTTTTATATATTTAGAGAACAAATTTTTTTCTTAATATATAAAAAACCCATACAAAATTTTATATTATGAATATATTTATTTAGAGCTAAAGTCATTTACTTCCAATGTTATAGGTCTCTTTGTGTGTGACCACTCATCTTGTTTTTTTCTTTTTTCCTTTGGGGTCAGTTCCACTTTTCTATAATAGGAGAAACATACAATTTTTGTGAATGAGAAATACATAAACACTGAGTATTATTAAACATAAAATGTGATACTTACTGACTACAGAACAGAACTTGGTTTAAATAACAAGCCCATGTCAATGAGTTACAAAACTTCAAATGTACACATTAAATAAGATTCAAAGTACTTGAAGGTTTACAAGATGACACTAATGTATTGCATGTATTTTATGGGTTTTTTTCACAACCAGTTGCAGGAAAAGGCAACGATGTTTGTCCAACTTTGAAATGTGATTAAATAGTGCTTTTCATATTTTTTCCGAGTTAACAAAATAGATATTATAGTATGTGTTTTCTGAGTATAAATCAACTTTTAGATTAAAAATCAGTTGTTGTGCCATTGACAAGTTACAGCACTGTTAACATTGTTGGCTATTAATATGCAAATGAATGCTATCAACTCCAAAGCTATCACATCAAGTAAGGAGATTGATTTGGCTAGCATAATTTACATTTCAAACTTTGAAGATGGAAGTGAGTTTGCACTTGGATAGGTAAGGCATCCAAAATGCAATGCAAAAAATGTTTATCCTTATAAAAATAAAATCAAAGTGTTGATCATGGTGTGGCTAATAAAATAGCTAAGCAGATGGTCACACAATTAAAGATAGGCTACCCACAGGAGCACGAACTTCCATTGATTACTCAAACAGCAGCAAACATTTTTGACCAATTGTCAGGATAACGGTGTAAAGCAAGATGGAGAAGTTTCTTCCAGCAATATAGGACATAATGAAACTCGGACTAGTAATATAGAAAGAAACTTTGAAGTCTGCACCAACTGCCAAATGTATCTTGAACTAGTAACAACACTGCCAATTTGTCAACACCAAAGGTTAGGCATTGAAGTGTGGCCAAGGTATACAAGGATGCTTTACTTAACTGTTTCATAGAGCTGTTGAGAAACTGTGATTCCACATGCAGACATATAGTTAAAAGCGTACCCACTAACACTGGTAAACCATTCCCAACAGACCAACAATTTCCATCAAATGTCTCATTGCTTCTTATCATACATAAGACAACTGGTAAACTTCTTATGCAAGAGGTATAATGCATATTTTAAGTATTCTATCAGTACAGGACTCTGATAATTAATAATTTTAAACTAAACATATAATGTTTTGAACTCATAATAATATATAATTAACAGTTATATTCAAATATGCATTTGTCTACATTTATTTCGCTATCTAGTATCTCTTAGTCAAGGATACTGCTCTGAAAAAGTGATGAACACCTTGGCAAAGGTCCCATGACCAAAAAAGTTGAATACTTTCTTGATGCATTCTTCATATCATATATTAATAAACATTATTAAAATACCTTAATAAATCAGTCAAAACACATATACAAGAAGGTGCCTTTTCTCATGAAATGGCTATTAATTTCCTTATTTTGGGTACTTGTGTAAACTTACACAAATAGCCATCCTAACTAGTCATCAGCACTCGCACACCAACTCTTGGGCTACTGTAATTAAATAGTGGTAACACACAACAAGCCCAAAAGTTTATAGCATGATTTTGCAGCAAACAATCCAAGAGCACTTAGATTCACAGTCAAGCAAATAAACCACTAAGCCATGCTTGGCTATTCATGAAAGTTTCTGTAGCAAGGTTTGAAAACTGTGCCAACTATATCTTTATAAATACACTAACTTGGCTACACCAAAAAATATGTTAAATATTTCTGCTTTCATATAAACAGCAATATTAATTAACAGCTATTTCATGTGACTCCCACTTTAAACAAACTTAACAATATTCACACACATTCCAATCCATATTTAGTGTTACAGTCAGTAAATCAGTTAGTGCATTTCCTTCCACAGAGGTTAAAAATCATTCACTTCCACTGGGTTTGTTTTTTTCCGTTACTGCAATTTAACATTGTTCCAAGCCCATCTGAGTACATTCTTTGACATCATCCATGTATACTCTGCCTGCCCCTCTATCTCTGGTCCACAGATGTCTTTCTGTGTCTTAAAATATGTCCACAGTAACTTAGCTTTCTCTTTTGGAAAATGTCCATTACATTTCTTCACATCTTTGCTTTTTACATCATTACATTATTTCTTAAGTTTCTCTGTCTGGCTGATTAGCATCATTCTTCATGTGCACCACAGTTCAAAAACGTTCAATCTTTTTCTCAGATGTGTAATCTATCACCCATGTCTCAAATATATATAACAGGGTGGACCACATAATTCTGATTTTTTTGGGCAAGTTTCTTGGATGTTAATTGTCTTTGCATACAGATTAAAATGGATCATGCAATTACAATTATTATTAAATCCCTCTGGCACCTTCTGTCTTCTTCATTATCATCCTAATAAACTAATTTATGCATACCTACTCAGTAATAGAATCCTATCCAACTGTCCCATTCATAAGTTCTAACCCATTAGCAAAACCCTATCAGACTTTCAAAGTTTATATGCATCTATTCAGTAACAGATTTGTGTTAAACTATGTAATTCATTTGTTCCTCCTCTCTAGTAAAAACCCTATGAAGCTGTCTAATTTACATATCCTTACTCATTAATGAAACCATATTAGACTGTTTCATATATACCTACTTAGCAATACAGGGTGGTCCAAAATTATCTTTCCTATTTTAAAATTAAATAACTGCAGTTTTCAACATCTTGTAGCCCAACCCAACCAGCTTTTATTGACATGTTAGTAGACTTCTATACATGCACCGTTAGTGGCTCTCAGCATGTCTAACCAATATTCGATTTCAGTCCACATTCGCTGCAACAAGTCCACAGTTACAAGGACGATGGCATCCATTATCCTGGTCTTTAGCTGTGACATTTACTATAGGTGTGTCTAACCAATATTCGATTTCAGTCCATGTTCGCTGCAACAAGTCCACAGTTACAAGAACGATGGCATCCATTATCCTGGTCTTTAGCTGTGACATTTACTATAGGTGTGTCTAACCAATATTCGATTTCAGTCCACGTTCACTGCAACAAGTCCACAGTTACAAGGACGATGGCATCCATCATTCGGTCTTTTGCTGTGACATTACTATAGGTGTGCAATACACAATATCCTTAACATACCCAAAAAGAAAGAACTAGTGGACTGATGTCTGGCAAATGTGAAAGCCATGGAATTAGTCCACCCTGACCAATCCATCACATTCAGCCTTTTCTTGCACAGTTGCCATTTTATGGGATAACATTACTCACTGAAGTGAAAGAAAAAAGCATGCCCATAAAAACTGTTTAAGTTGTGCTACAAGATGTTGAAAATTGCATAGTTTTATTTCTTTACTTATTTATTAAATCCTAAAATAGAAAAGATAATTTTGGACCATCCTTTAGAACTCTTAGAGACTGCCAGTTCACCCATAGTTGCTCCATTATATATTCATGATATTCTTTATTACATGTACCAGCTCAAAAAGACAAACTTGTGCTAAATTATATCATATTTGATAAAATAAGATTAAACATAATTCCTCAATAAAAAAAACTTACACTATGTTATAAAAAGACATTTTTTATAGAATTTTATGCTAGAAGTATCCACTTCCCTCTTTATGGGTACAAACACAGTAACCTCACTGTGTATCCAAGCCTGCACATACCTGGTCAGTTATATAGCCACAATGTTGTAGAACAATTCTCGCAGCATTGTTGATGTGTTTAAAACGGTCTGGACCAAGAAGAATACCTCCATACCACCGAGAAACTACTACCACAACATTCTGTGCCCCAAGGATCTGTATGATTAGAGAACTAGTTTTTATTTACTACTGTAACACTCTCACGAAACTGAACTCTAGTTTCTTAACCTCCTTCCATGCAAACAATAAATTTGAAACTCAAAATGAACAAACTAAAATATACTTGAAAAACATGAGAATGGGGTTTACTGTGATGTTTCCTTACACATTTCTTCATGAACTACAGGTATCATTTACTATTAGGCATTCACATACTTCAAAACTTACCTCCAGTAAATGAAGTAGTCGAGATCCTGCATGAGTCTCTCCATCATCATCACAGTCTTGGTGAAAACTCTTTGTATCTTCTATGTATATTCTAAATGTAAAGAATTGATGGAATGCTGTAACTTAAAGTTGTATTGCCTTTGTGTATGAATCTATTATTAGTGTTTCTTTAGAAAATACTATTTAAGCAGTAGATATACAGACAATACCAGGTAATCTAAAATAAAGTGTAGATTCACTATTATGGAACAAGAAGTTTATACGGAAGCAAGTTTCAACACAATTTTTGTTTGGGAAACATTCACAGCTTATTATATAATGGAAGTTTCAAGACGCATTAGGGCATAGAATGTCAGACTAGTTCTGTGTATTATTTTGTTTGATTTCTCATTAACTTGGTGATCAAGATTCTGTAATATTTGTTTGACAATTTTTAACATCCATTTTATGTTCTTTGAGTCTTGTATCTAAATTTATTGCAGTTTTGGCATTGTCAACTTTTTCACAGGTTTCTAGCACAATATATACAGACATCCTGTGCTTTATCTTGACATGAAAAGTTGTTCAAGGGTAAGAACATTTTAATGATATTGAGATATTTATAAACAGTTTTGACATTAGGTTTCAGACGTTTGTCTAAAGCCATAATACTACAACTGTAGTTGATGCTAAGTATTTTATTTTCACATACAGAGGTTGTTGGTTGTTATTCCCAACAATGTCTTTCTTGCCTTTAGATGGGCATATTTGCTACAGCCTACAGTATTCAAATAGCACGATAATTTCTTATTTATCGAAAATAAACTATAAATATTAGATATAATCAATTTTGATCAAAAATACTGGTAAACTTTTGTTAGTCTTACTGTGTTTGTATAATTTAAGGTGGGAAGGTAACTGCATCAATCAGCAAACGAAAGTGAGAAAAGAGAAATATAATAATGAATACCAAACAGGTTAGATATAAAAAATGTAAAAGGAAATATTATGTTTTTTTGAAAAACAGTGTTCACAGCAAAATGTCAGAAATTTCACATCTAAAAAGTGATACAAATACTAAAATCATATTTTATTAATTTTTTTCCTGCAAAAACTAGACACCATTTTAAGAGTTTTTACAAAAGTTCATGAAATTTGGTAAGGTATTTTCACTCTTTGAATGAAAAGAATAGGGTATATCAATGATTGAGCTGGGCCATTTAAGCATTTAATTGTATATATATTTTCAATTACTATGAGCAGCAATTCCATCAATTAATGTCTCGTAAATTAATCAAAATTATTGTTTCTGATTATTACTGTTGTACATTATTCCAATAATCATTTAATCAAAATTACAATTAAATCAACTGTTATGAAAATAATCAACTACTTGAAATTAGGGTTTCTAATTATTACAGTTTTACATTATTCTAACAATCAATTAATCAAAATTACAATTAAATTGACTATCATTAAATAATCAACTACTTGAAATTAGGGTTTTTAATTATTACAGTTTTACATTATTCTAACAATCAATTAATCAAAATTACGATTAAATTGACTATCATTAAATAATCAACTACTTGAAATTAGGGTTTCTAATCACTTAGTTTTTGATTATTCCAACTGTATACATCATTGAATATTGTCATTATGTTTGTTGTTATGCACAAAGCTGCATAATAGGGAGAGATGCTTTGTGATCTGAGGGTCTCGGGGTTATTTCCCATTGCCATCCTGTGTTTTTTATTGCAAAGCTACTAAGGCTATCTGAAACTGTCACTAATTTTGAACTGCTGATTAGACAGAAAGCAACTGGATGGCAACTCTCTGGCTGTCTAAGTGTTAAATAAAACATCAAATTGTTTCATTTTTACAGTGTGTAACTGTATTCTTTAATGTTGTATAAGCAGACATAGATCTAGGTGAGAGACCCAGTAAGGCCAAAGACTCTCCACTCATTTGTTTTAGAAATTAATAACCAAGTTATTTAATTTTTTATATGTAGGCACAGAACTAGGGTGTCCAAATCTCTCTCTCCTCCATTTTTTTCAGAAATTAATATTTAAAAAAAAGCTAGGCATCCTTGCACTACCATATAGCATGAAAAAGAAATTTTAGATGCCATGTTTTTATTTGATTGAACTATTAACTATCATAAAAGCTTTTCTGAAATCAGCATAGCTGGAGTCTACCTTAATCTATATCTCAAACATATTTTATAATTCATATTTCATCATTTTCCGACATTTATTATTTGTTATAATTCTAAAAGAAAAAATCTGCTATCTTTACTTCCACACAGCTGCAGATTTTTGCTATAAACAAAACAACCCACATGTAAATTATTTTTAGAATTTTTCTACCCATTCCAAAGAATAACTTTGTGATATGAAACTATCACCCCTTGATAATATATTGAACATCAAGTGTTTCCCTTAGTTTTTATGCATGCCTTGGTTGTAAACTTGTTATGTGCCACATCAAGAGGTTTGATCATCTACTAATGAAACACAGCTATAACCAAAGTTTATATATGAGTGATAGAGCATGAATTATACTATCACACAACAGTAGAATAGATACATATATATATATATATGTTTAAAGTTTATTTTATAGTTTCTGTAAATATTTCTTTAGTTTGTGAATTGTAAAAGTAGTTTTGTTTTAAATTATATCTATTTGAAAGCAACAAAAATTTTTTTTATTGAGAACAGATAACAAATAACTTGTGGGTAAGGTAAGCTTATACAGTTAAGAGGCGAGTTGAATGGGTAACAAAGAAAACTATTACAAGTTTAACACAGTAATAAGTCATCAGGTACAAGTAGTCATCTCCAGTCATGGAGATTGCATAAGGCTTAATAAAGGTATTTTGTTGATGTTTGGTTCTTTTTTAAATATTGGGCTTTTACTTTTCAATAGACATACTTATGGTTTTATTGAGTTGCAATGTTTGTAAACAGGAAACCCCTAACTCACCAAGGAAGCATTGGAAAACAGGTGAGACTCTGGACAAGGTGGAGGAATGGGATCCCTCCCCATGATCAGTACCTTGTCAAGCCACCAACCAAGGTTGATCCTGAACCCAGAGGGAAGGGTAATGGAATGGTCTAAGGGATCGTGGGTGAAGGTCGATTGGTTGAGAAATGTCCACTGAAGAGAACGTATGTAAGCTTGACTCAAGGGAATGAGAGCTTCCAAGGAAGCCCAAATCTCCAAAAGAGATAGAACCCCTCATGAAGTGAGAAAAGGAGAAGGTATGGCTATTAAAACTGCCTGCTTCATATCCCCACACAAAGTGGAGAAGGCTGGGTCCAATGAGGATGGGTACTGAAGAAAAAACCCCAATTGAACAAGATATTGAGTGGGGGTAAGAATGGACATCTCCAACTTGAACAGAAAAAACCCACCTTATTATTTTTCCAAAGAAGTAAGCAAGCATGATAGACCAACTTGGCATGAGAAGAGGCTAGCAGGAGCCACTCATCTATGAAAAGAAGAGCCTGAAGACCCAACAAGTGAATATGACAGGCAAAAGAGTGTGCCGCTCGACAAAACATGTGGAGCCAAAAATAATAACCAAACTGCAGTACCCAGAACTGAAAGACATGACCACAAAAAACAACAAAACACTGGAGCAGTAGGAATATGAAGAGAAGCATCCATCATGATGATTTGGTCAACCAAAGTCCTGGGGGAAACCTCCAAAGAAAGAGTCTAATTGTTGTCCCTTGTAAGCCAGGAGATTGAGACCCATCTTAGACCTGTACTGGTTGAACTCTTATCTGAAGCCATTATTGGGGTTCTACCATTTAAGTGTCTTTATTTTCTAAGCTCCTTTATGGTTTTCTACTTTAGGTGTTGCTTATTGTTTTCTGTTTTAGGTTAAATTTCATAATTTTGCAAGTTATTATTCTATATTTGGTAGACTCTACCAATTTCTAGGTTTTGTTAGTAATGTATACTTTCTCTCAGTATGTTTATGTGTCATTTTGGCTACACTTCATGACCATTCCATGGGTACTGTCTGAAGGTTTCTGCTTTCAGTTCCACTCCCCTTATCTATTTACCTTTTCTCCTTCTCTCCTCCTCAGGATCATACATTTCCTGGTCATCTTGCCTTGTCTGTTCCAGCTCTATGACATACTCCTTTATAATTGGAGTGTGATTATTCCTTGTTTTTGTTTAATATTTGGTATAAGTGCAGGTTTTGCACACTGATTACTCTTTAGGTAATTGTAACCTCTGTTACATTTGTGTTTTGGTTCGTTATTTATACTTCTCTTACCTGTTTATGTTACTGAGTTTGTAAGTTTCTTTGTCTTCCCTACTAGTAAAGAAAAAAATTAACAAGGTGCCTTTTCATTATCATGTTGTTCAGGGTAGGTTTTCCTCTCTGTTCCTTTGTCTTGTTCTTTGAATGGACTTCCAAGTTTGATGAAATTAAAGTGACATAGATGGTAAAATAATTACAAAAATCTAATTACCCAAATATTGAGCCGAGAAAACGTGAAAGACACAAGTTATTGGGCAAGAAAAATAGGCCTAACCACAGCAAAACATGGGAATAGCTACTGGAAGTGAGGAAGACTCTTTAAAAAACTTACCACAGATCTCCTGAGAAAAAGAACAATACCTAACCCAGGACATTACATGGAGGCACGGTAACAGGTGGAAGGTGCAGTATAAAGAATTTTCCACTCAGTAGGTATAACCTTCCTCAGAAAAACATTTGGAAAGGAAGAAATTGTCAGTCGAATATAAGACAAAAACTCCCTGCAAATTGCAGCATGGACTTCCCCAGCAGACATCATTCACCCCAAGACTTGGGGATGTGTGCAGAACCTTTGTCTTCTTTTGGTAGAAAATTTGACAACCACCATATTAAATACCAACGTCAATATGAACAAAGTAGAATTCAGAAAACAGAAATATTTCTGGTTTGGTGTGTTTTGAATTTCGTGCAAAGCTACACGAGGGCTATCTCCACTAGCCATCCCTAATTTAGTAGTGTAAGACTAGAGGAAAGGCAGCTAGTCATCACCACCCACCACCAACTCTTGGGCTGCTCTTTTTACCAATGAATAGTGGGATTGACCATCACATTATAATGCCCCCATGGCTGAAAGGGCAAGCATGTTTGGTGGGTCGGGAATTTGAACCCGCAACCCTCAGATTGCATGTTGAGCACCCTAACCACTTGGCCATGCCGAGCCTGAAATATTTCTGAAACAAATGAGTAAAAACAAAGAAAATGATACACATCAATTTGAAACTTGAAGTAGAAACTGATAGAAATGTGTGATCAAACACAATCAAATGTTTGTAGCCACGTGGAAGGCGAGTGTAAACACACATCTGGATACTGGAATGCCAACTGAGAAAATGAGGTTTGTTCTAGAATAGTACAGGGAGTTAGCTGCACCAGTATAGATGAGGCAACATGATTGTTAGAGAATGATCACATGATCAAAAGAAAAATGGTGTAAACTGAGGAGTGTAAAAGACTAGTGCACTTTTAGTACAAACTATTAGCACTGCTTATAAGGCAGACCAGGATCAAGATGACTCTAGGTGAGAGGAGGTAAGACCGTTTTGGAATGCATATCTACAGGGTTTTTTTTCTGCATCCCTGTGTATGTGGTATTTACTTTCTTCTACATTGTAAGGAAAAATTAATAGTTGATAACTCTTCCATAGTATATACAGACCTTGTTGAATGGCATTCTGTAAAAGGTCGTGGCTTATGCACTTTGGCGAGATTAATGAGCCCATCAATTAATTGATAAGCAAATAACACTAATCACCCAGCTCTAATCCATAATATCCCACCAGTACAGAAACATTGAATAATTGGCTTAAACATGTGTTGTTGTTGTTTATATATTCTAAATTTATCTTTTTCTATGTACAAAAGTTATGAAACTTAAAATACTTTATTCACCTGTATGCCAGAATATTATGGGTTGCACTGGCTATCTTTCTGTTCTCCATTAGTTTTGTCTTGATTTGTTGCACCTGAGATTTTAATATATATTATCAGAAAACTAAAACTGGTTCAACAAATTAAATTTTTTAACATATCTGGACTTCAACCAAAAACTAACTACTTTACACAGGATACTTCATCTTGTTTATAAGTATTGTAACAAATGTAAAACTTCAAATGTTTGAGTTTTAACACAGGTTTTTTCTTTAACTGGTTAATAAAATACATATGAGTTTTTATTTTCCAATAAGGACTTTTTAAATAATTGTGGCTTTGTTATTTTTTTGTGATTCAATACAATGGACTAAATTTTTAATAAGAATGTAACTCATAAAAGTGAAATATTAAATTATGTGTTTAAACTAAGTCTTTACATGTTGTAGTCCAACCACAAGTGATGTATTAATATCACATTTTAGCCAACAACCAATATCAACATATCAGTACATCTTTACCAACCACATGATTACCTTTTACACTGAGTAAAAACATTCATTAGCTACAGTCTACCAATGAAATGTAGTTGAAATATTGTGAATAAATCGGACATTCAGAGAAACCAACCTGACTGTCATGAGAAGGGAACACTAAAGTTATCGACAGACTACGCTAAGATGCATCATCTGATTTTATGACTGAAAAGCTTCACCAAGACTGAACTGCACATCTACAAACTAAGAATCAATTAAAACTAATCTCATCAATAAACATAATGAACACTGAACTAGGACAGATTATTAAACGACTCTGAATGAACAGGTAGTGGGCTTGGTAAATAATTCTTCCAGACAGAGAAACAGAATAAAAAAATATTGTAGGAGTAAAAACAGACTTTGTAACTCTAAAAGTCGAGGGAAAAATTGTTTATAAGCAGCTGATATATACACTTTAAAAATAATCAGTATTCAATAATACTTAAATTTAGAGATGAATTTCAAACTTCAAGAGATTCTGATTTAAGATACTGGATACTTGGTTTCTATACAAACAATTCAAAAATATTAATCATCATAATCAGTGCAAGGCAGCACAGTGTCAGAACAGTCATAGGGAAAGCAAAGAGATCAACAGTTCTGAAAAGACTAAGAATATTAGTTATAGCTGCTGAGAAACCAATAAGTAGAAAAGAAAAAAAAATCATACATCCCACATCTTCATTAGTACAGTGTATTAAATTTCTTGTTTTTTTTTCTATTTATATATATAAGTCTGGGAATTCTATTTCCTTACTGAGTCTTGTTGTGATCTTCAGATAAATTAGTTATTCCTGCAGTGAGTATGCATCTGACTCCTTGCCTTTGTTAGATTCTTATTCTTTAATAATATCTCATCATCAGCATCTTGATTTTTAACTCATCCCATGCAAACATTATATGGACAGTCTGTCCAAAAAAAGACTAAGGAAAATGTAATTACAAGGTTTCTATTTATGTTCAATAAATGACAATTTTTCTACTTGCACATCACTGGCATCTTACATAAATTGTTTACCAAAAAAACAATTTCAGTAATGCTAAAAAACTAACTTAAAGCTCTTTATTATAACTGAAGAATTTATGCTTGAGAGTTTCAAGTTACAAATCACATAATTTTTTAAAATCTGGGTTCAGCCAAATGTAAAAATTCCCAGGTGTGTTTATGAACCCAACATTCATACATCTTTATGGTGATCTACTGTATTCTAATTGCTAAAAAAATAACATTTTTGATATAAGCTACCCCACCATGTACAACTTTATTCAAGATTAGCAAAAATATGTAGAGAACATTCTTTAAAATGAAGACAAAATTAATTCTACTCTCTCTCACTAAACAAGGTTTACTGAAAAGTTTTCATTATTTCCAAAACAATTTTAATAATCCTAGCAGGAATCTAGAAAGAAAAAAGTAATTAACCATTTCATAGTTACATCTAAGAAAGCATTATTTTACTAACAAGGTGGTTGGCTTTCAGAAGTGATAGATGCAGTTAACTGAAAGTAGTTTATGAGAAGGCTTGATTAATATTTGAATGATAAGAGCTGGACTTGAGTGTTATATTTTTTTTTACAGTTTAGTGTAATGGATCAACAGGTAGGTCCCATGTTATCCTTAAATTATATGTATAGGATTAACGGAAGAATTTATAGTTACTGCTATTTATCAGTAAATAAAGGAGGAAGTAACATTAAATAAATAATAAACACTCTACCTTTTTTAAAGTAAAAAAAAGTACCTGATGATGACAATCACCTTAAATAACTACTCTTTCTCATATATGAAGAGTACTTTCTTTTAATAGTAGTTCCATCTTACTGTGTCAGGTAAATATTATCATAAGATTTGCTCCAGCTAGTTTTGGTTCATTATTGTTATAAGACTTTTTTATAGTTTGTTGTTCTGGTTGAGTATTGTTACAGAATTTGTTTAGCTAGTTGTTCTGGTTGAACATTATCATTATAAGATTTTTTTCTAGTCCTGGTTCTAGTTGTTTCAGCTTACTGTCTAGTTTAAACACTGTTATAATATTGTTCCAGACATTGTTTTTAGTTTAATACTTTTACGTACATTTTTTCAGCTAGTTTCTCTGATTTATTCTGTGAAAATATTTGTTCCAGCCAGCTGTTCTTGTTGAGTACCACTGTGAGATTTGTCCCAACTAGTTGCTCTGGTTGGTTGATTGCTGTAAAAAGTTGTTACAGGTAGCTATTAGCTTAAATACTGTTGTAAGATTTGTTCCAGCTAGTTGTTCTCATTGATCGATGCTGTAAAAAGTTGTTACAGGTAGCTATTAGCTTAAATACTGTTGTAAGATTTGTTCCAGCTAGTTGTTCTAGGTTGATTGATGCTGTAAAAAAGTTGTTACAGATAGTTATTAGCTTAAATACTGTTGTAAGATTTGTTCCAGCTAGTTGTTCTAGTTGACTGCTGCTGTAAAAAGTAGTTTTAGCTGGATAATAGCTGAAATACTATTGTAAGATTTGTTTCAGTTAGTTTTATAAGTTGAGTACTACTCCATAAACTGTATAATTGGCTGAACAAGTCTTACCATACTTAACCTTTACAGTTCATTTTATAACCAGCAAGAAATGAAAGATCAATTTTAGCCAAAAGTAAAATAATTTTTCCACAGTTTCTTTCACACATTAAAAGTTTTTAAGATGTATCAAAAGGTAAAATTGAAAGCTACATATATAAACAACTGAAAACATGTGAATGTCTTCTTTCTGTAACAGTGTTCTTGCATTTATTATCTCAAGATTATGTAGTTAATCCTGTACGAAAGAACAAGCTTGAAGTATTGTTCCCTAGATGAAATATGAAAGCATTTGACTTAAAATGCTGACTGATAAAAAAAACAACTTAAAACAGTTAGTACAGAAAAACCAACAGTTAGAGGATAAAATAAGTAATAACCAACACCGAAATAAGAGATATCTACAATGTTCAGATATTCTGAAAATAATGAATATATCCAATATATATCAAAGGCTAAGCTGTCACCAAATTATTGTTGAAGTAAATATATTTGTAGACAGTAACACTTAATAATGAATTGTATCATATAAAAACCTCTAATTGCTAGTTATGACAATAAAGATATCTATGGATGGTTACACTTCATGAAGAACTATGTCATGAAGAAAACCTCTAATTCCTAGTTATGACAGTAAAGCTATCTATGGATGGTTATACTTCATGAAGAACTGTATCATAAAGAAAACCTCTAATTTCTGGTTATGACAGTAAAGCTATCTATGGATGATTAAATTTCCCGAAGAACTGTGTCATAAAGAAAAGTTATAATTTTCCTATACTGAAAATGTATTTCTGATAGGTACTTACCTCCTCTCACAAGATTAGCTATTATCATTCAGTGCTGCCCTCTATATGCGAACTTTTTCTTTACGCATGCCATAAGCCTTGTGCTCCCCCCTATTGGAATTGCAAGATTCCAACAAGTCTCTCATGTAAATCATCATGCGTCACCTCTTCACCAATAGAAGCATAACATCCTCATGTGATGTATGTGACTTCTCTACACTCCTCTACCGAACTATCACTTTGAAGTTTAGTAAAAGATGTCAGTACTGGAGAAATGTGAGGAGAAAGGGTGACAAGTGACATGACATGCTCATGTGATGCATGTGACTTTCTCTACACTCCTCTACTGAACTATTACTTTGAAGTTTAGTAGAAGATGTCAGTACCGGAGAAAGGGTAAGAAGTGTGAGAGGAGGTAAGAACCTATTGGAAATACATTTTCAGTATAGGGAAATTATAACTTCTGATACAGTACTCACTTCTTCTCACAAGATTAGCTAGAATCCCACATAGAGAAGGAGGAGGGACCAGTGCGAGGGAACGACAGAAGTATCTCCCGAAAACATCTGAAGGATACCCCTGGAAATGAGAGATTCAGATCCAAAGAGGGGAGTCGCACCACTTCTGTGCCAGCTATACTCTTCGCCCTACTATGGAATGTGTAAGATATAAGAGCAGAAAATGAGAGAAGCACATCCAAGTGGAAGAGAATGTGGCAGGAAAGTTATCCTATCCATAGAAATATACTGTAACTAAATCCCACAAAGAGAAAGGTGGGTAGACAAAGGATGCGCCCCTAGATGTAGAGTGGTTAGGATGCGGTAGGCCATAATCAGTAAGTCAACTACATCCAAAACCTTCATATGGGGTACTTAAATCAGTGCAAACCCAAGAACCAGAGGATTGCAAACCACTCCAATTCCCAGGTTTGATACAAGGATTAGCTCTGAGCTATCAATCTGCGAACTTGACATCTGGTATTGAAAAGATGTCTATTGCATGCAATCAACTCCCCCCAACTGTGAAAATGGCAATAATATCCCCATAAGAAGAGATGATGAGGGATAGCCAAGAACAGAATCAGAACAAACCTACATACCACCAATGTCACCCACAACACAAACGGAGGGAACTGAGAGAGGAAGATAGACAACCTGAAACCTGTGTCAGAACTTATGTTGACTGGCTCACTCTAAATCCAAAACCTGCCTTGGGGGGGTTACTGACATCCACGCAAGGGTAGGATGAGGGCTCCCAATCGAGGGGGTGAACTGCATTCTGACATCTCACTCCGGTGTCATATGTTATTGAAAACAGGAGGAAATCACGCCATCTACACCCGCAGAACACCACCACCCTACTCTGTAACTGAATGGTTATTGTGTGGAACTCATTCAGCAAGGTGCCTCCATGGTTTGGAACTGGAAAGTTGTAAGAACTTCCATATTCCACTCGAAGAAAGGAGAAGGAAATGAGAAATGTCATCACCAGAGACAGTGCAATGGGAGACCATGAAACCTTATTTTGAAAAGCACAACATACTGAGTTATTCACTCTAGGGATGGCAGCAGTCCCCTTCTGCTTTACTCATGCAGTCCATGGATGGTACGGTCCAGAACAGGCATGTTTATGAAGCAAAATATCAAAAAGTTATCCACCATCATCTTGTGGAACACTCCATCTCCATGGTGAGTGTACAAAGCCATGGAAGATAAAGTGTGAGTCAACATGGCTGGACAGTACAGATTTTGAGTAAAAGAATACCTGGTCAGGCACCACTTGCCACAGAGAGGGATCCATGAGATAAAGAAATAGAGAAACAACAACAATCCATCTTTAAATGGTTCTTTGACCGTGGGTCTTCGGTCTCCTCACTTTCAGGATATCTGGTGGCTTTATCTCACACATTTCATTTTTCTCAATATTGTAGAGTTTTTACTTCCCCTGTCTTTACCACACTCATGCATTCTTTCAGATATCTCACCCTAACAGGCTACCTTTCCTCCCGGATTGGGATGTTAATGTGATCCTCCATTCCCTAACTTTATCTCTGTTTGAATAACTTTCCTCATGTTCCATCTTTCCCTTAACACATATTTCCTTATTCTCTTAGCCTGTGGATGGCATCGATCTGATTTGTTTGCCTTTGATGTTTTACGTACCATTTATCATCCTACCTATCTTCTCCTTTATCCTGAAGACCTCAGCTGCTCAGAAGGATGGTTCCTCATTTTCTCCTATTTCTCATCTTTACCCTTGACCAAATCTGGATAGGCTTCAGTGGCTGGCCAGGGCTTTTTGTTGTTATATTGCCCATACTGCTTCCTTCTGGGGTACATATTCCTGACTCTTTATTCCCTGGCAATCCTCCTCCCTTTGTGATCTTTCACCTTCTACCCTTACCAATTGGGTCCGTCTTTTGGATTGATTGGCCCATTCCTCCTTACTTTTTTCTTCCTGGAATTTTTTCCAGGTGTCCTCCCATCAGATCTTACACCTCACTTTTTCCCTTGCTTCTAGTCTTCCTTGTCCAATGGAGGAGATTCTGCAGTCTGGAATGTGGACCACAATCAGTACATTCATCTCCCACTATTTCCATCATATCGCAGTTTCCTCGTTGTCTGGATTTTATCTGCTACCTGTGGCCATTCTTCAGACTTCGGTACAACTCTAACTGTAAATTTTTATTCATTCTTTCTTTTCAGGGGACGGACCCATGTCACCTGAAGCTCTAGAGTTTTCCGGACCATATCAAACGTAATGTCTCAGAAATGGGGCTATGTAAATCCCAAAGATATGTCAATGGTAAACGGATCCAAGCCAATACGGCATCACAATTTATAAGGTCCCAACAACAAAGAAACCACGTATGTAATGCCAGAGCCTAAGAAGACAAGCGGGTTAAAGTGGAGGAGAGAAGTGCAAGGATATCTCCAGAAAATCCCTCAGGATTTCTGTGGAGAGCCTCAGATAGGAGGTGTATGGAAGAAAAATACCATAATAGATGTGTAAGGGTAAGACACAAGTGAGAATATTAGGCTTAGGTAAGACTGACAGATCATTCGGGGCCCACCCCCCAAAAAGGCAATAAGAAACCTAACCACTGCTGGTCTAAAAAGGTTGGTCAGCACGATTGTAGGAAAGTGCAAACTGATCTGAAATCCACAGAAGGTGCAGCATGCTAATCTCCTTGCTTAATTCTGAGGCAAAATGATCAGTATGAACCCAAATATCAGGTGGGGGAGGAAAAACCAAAAAGGTTGGGAATATTGTTCGTGCAGTAAGGAAGAACGAGGTGCATAAGAAATAAGGGAAAGGGATAAAACATCACAAACCTGAGACATAAAATCCATAAAGAACCGATTAGACCTAGTAGACTCTTCAGCTTGAAAATGGGAAGTCATGACAAAATCTGGAGATGGAAAAAGACGATCAAAGTCATCATCAGCCTGTTTTGGAGAAGCCTGAGTAATGTTTGGGGATAAAGGTTGTTCCATGTAACATTCATTCTCCTGGCATATAAAAGCAGATAAACCATCATCGGGTTGCCCACACTTGAGGCCTGAAAAAAAACACTGATTGCTGTTTGTAATACCCGAAGTTGTAATGTTAACCTTGGAATTCATTGCACAGAAAGGTTCATCAAATTTGAGTGCATATAATAAGGCAATCAGAATTAACTGACAAATACTAATAGAAGAAAGAGGTGAAAGGAAAATAAATTAATTAAAAAAATAACTACTTTGTGAGGAAACAAAGTCAAACACGAAGTATTAAACAAACAAGTGAGCATGTTTGAATACTAGCACTTCCAAACGAGAAGTGATAGTTCAGTAGAGGAATGTAGAGGGAGTCATATGAGCATATCATGCTCCTATTGGTGAGGAGGTGACACACGATGGTTTACATGAGAGACATGTTGGAATCTTGCAATTCCAAAAGGTGGGAGCAAAAGGCTTGTGGCATGTGTAAAGAAAACTTTGCATATAGAGGTTAACAGTGAACAAGAATAATTAATCTTGTGAGAAGAGATAAGTACCATATCGGAACCTCTATATCCTTGGTTATGTCAGTAAAGCTGTCTATGAGTGGTTACACTTCAAGAAGAAATGTGTCCTAAAGAAAACCTCCAATTCCTAGTTATGCCAGTAAAGTTGTCTATGGATGGTTACACTTCATGAAGAACTGTGTCATAAAGAAAACCTCTAATTTCTAGTTATGACAGTAAAGCTATCCATGGACGGTTAAATTTCAAGAAGAACTGCGTCATAATGAAATCCTCCAATTCCTAGTTACGACAGTAAAGCTATCTATGGATGATTACACTTCTTGAAAAAC